AAACAGTAATGGGAAGGGAGAAACACTCTCCACAGCACAAGCCCTGCAAGGCAGGCCAGCCCCACCACATGACCAAGGTTTACCCACACCCCTTGACATGGCTTCTCCCAGTGGTTTTGATTTGGGTAGTTGTATAACACAAAGGTTAGGCACACAGTTAGTGTGCATACTGTTTTCACAGGGCAATATGTGTCCCAAAGTGCCCCGTGACTGGTCGAAGGCCAGAGTTGTAAAGTTCAAGACAAGCCTGTATTTATGAAAGGGGAAGGAGGAGACCCTGTGGAGGCAACTATACTGGATCTTGTACTTCTGTCCTGAAAAGAACCTAGGTATTAAAAAAAAAGTCAGTAGATATTGTTTACCCTGAAGAGTTCTGAGCGAGGCTGATGAATTGTAAGAATCACAATCCTGCCTCTGTGTGCAAGCTCTGAGAGAAGCAAGACCAGCTGGTTTGCAGTCAGGCAGTCCAGCCCTGTCGTTGGCTCATCAAGTAGCATAACCTCTGTCAAATGACAAGGAATAGCTTTAAAATTCAGGTAAATGAGGAGAAAGTCCTACAGCTTCTGCCTTTAAAAGAAGCAAATAATATAGAAATTACTTTACATGTGAAGTTCCACACGTAAAGCAGAGTATGCATAGATCACCATGATGTGATCTTTAAGTTAGTTCCAGTGGTTCAGTTACAATGACCAGGAATGAGGACATAAAAAAACTACTGCAGGATCGAAGCATAATCAATTTTTTCTAAATTCAGGTAAAATCTGAAAATTACCAAAATAGAATTGATGTATACATCTGCTTCTAAGAACAATAATGATAAATTTCAAAATGTATGTAAAGGTAAATATAACTGAAAAATTAGCGAGAAGTTATAATCTGAATTAAATCTATATATACACACAGAATTGATCATGAACAAACCAAGAGTTGTTAAAATACAGCATTTGTAATTCCCTAGATGGGAGCTAGAGGGGATTACTGCATTTTCTTCATTATTTTATTGCACATGGAAGGGAAAAACTTATAGTCAAATCCATTATTTTTATATAGATGAGACATAGCACAGAAGAGGGCAGTGCAACTTTGATCAGGGTAAGAAGGGAGAAAAGCTTTCACTATAGGTTTATCTACACAGAATTAGTGTTATTAGTGTTAACTATAGAGTTTAGTGACTTACTGAGCAATAACTACACCCAATGAACTCCCCAGGGGTCATAAGAAACAGTGATACATCTTACTTTACTATTTAAGGGCTCCTTGCTGCCTGATATGCAGTTCTAGCATATCTGCATTGCTACAATAATTCCACCATCCAACAAATGCCTGCTGTACATTTACTCCATAAGATTGTGGCAAATTCAAGAAACGATCTCAAAATTGACTAAATTTACAGTGATTTTTCCCCATGGATAATCCTTCTATAGTCATTCTGCCTTCATTTTCACTCAGTGGAATTTTTTCGCTCTGGAACATGTGTGTTGCTCGTGCATACATAGCTCAATGGCAGGGACTCCACTGCAAGGTTCAGTGTTTGCATATGTGTGGCTCTCATGTGCTCAAAACCTATAAATTAATGGGCCACAACCAACATTTGGGAAGAGAGAGTTGAGAAAGACTTAAAATGGATAAGTGCAAGTCTAAACCTATGCTCAATCCCTAAGATTTTTTCATTGTCTGCTTTCCAAGATCAGCTAACAGACTAATGGAAGACCTCAGTTACTATTCTATCCTTTTCTGTTATTACAACAGTAGCTTTTGCTGAATTACAGAATGTAAATGCTTTTGTATTTTAAAGTAGTTTATGGAAGCCTATGGTAGGAGCACAAAGTTACACAGCTTTATTTTAAAAATCCATGCAGTGGTACTTACTGGGATCTTGTAATAGCTGGGCTGCAACCGATACCCGACGCCTCTCACCCCCAGAAATTCCTCCGATATTATGGCTTCCAATAATTTTGTCAGCCATGTGGCCGAGACTCAGCTCAGTCATGACTGCATCTACCTGAAAAATAATTACAATTTTAATAGACTAAACACAGGCCAACTCAGACACCTGTGTGCAATGGTAAAAAGCGGGGAAGAAAAAGACATAATTTTAAAATATAGCTTTCCCAATATCCTGCTTGCTCCATTCTAGTCGGAAGGTATATGGCCTCATTTCTATTTGATTATTTTTAATATATTATTTAAATTATCTTTTAAAATTTTAGTTTCATGTATTCTGAAATGAGGAAATTTTTGCTTCAGTTGACATTAAGAGATGAAGAGTTCAGAGGTGGGACTAGAATTCAAGGTATGAATCATAATTTGCTAGTCTGGCTTCCAAAACTGGGGAGCACGAAGGCATATCCATCCTGGGGAAGTATAAAATACTGAGTGGAAAATCAATGAAGAGAAGAGGCAGAGAACAAGAGACTTTGGTCAGGAATATCCAATCTTTACTTTCAAAAGAGTCCTTTAAATAAATCTGAAACAAACCTATTTTATCAAGAAAATAGCTTGTAGGGGGCTTAGTAGACCAGTGCTTTTTGGAGCTGTTCTGGTTGATGAGAGATATTCTACGGGAGCAGAACAGTGTCAAAATCACTTCTGCTGTTCATGAGTCTTGCCAGCACACATGGCCCTAAACACCCCAGAGAACTGGGTTTATCAGCTGGGAAAGGGGAACTGACCTTAATACCAACATCAGCATCTCCTGCAGCAGCAACTGCTGCAGCTTTGGGTGGAGGGTTTTGTCCCAGCATAATGGTGATTCCCTGGGGTGTCAGCACAAGCCCCTTGCAGAGGTGGGGAGCACCAGAGATCTTGGGTCCTACTCCTCAGCAGGAGGATTTCTCCCCATTTGCAGAATGAGGATCACAAAACCCCATAAACATAAAACACAGCCATGAATGGAAAGTGCTGCTGGTGAAAGCATTACATGACATCATGTCTACCTTTCTGAAGGAAGACGATAAAATACAGACCTTCTTTTTGATGAAGTTGTTGGAGCATTTCTTAAGAGTTAGCAAAGCCGTGTATGTCAAAGACTCTTGTACGGTGAGAAAGCTTAACAAAGTGTCACTCTGAAAAAAAAAGTGAAGAGAAAGAAGCAGTTAGTTCTGTAGTAATTTAATATCTTGTCCCTCCTCATGCAAGTTTAATTAATACAAACTGATTTGTCCCAAATTTACTAGTATAATCACAGTCAGACTACATTACTCCGTTACACGAGGAACTTTCTTTACACGAAAGGAAGCACAGTACACAAAAAATAAACGTAGAAATCAACCTGTGGTACATAAGAGAAGCAATCTCTAAACTGTTCCTTCTTCAGCTGACGTCCATTCACATACACTTCACCAGAGAAGCTATCTTTATATGTCAGTCTTCCTGATATTGCATCCAGAAGTGTTGTTTTCCCAGATCCTTTCAAACAGAAGAAATTAATCATGTGATGAGATGAATGTTATGATTCCAAGAGTGGTAGCTTGATTTGAATGGAGACATATGAAAAGAAGCAAGGCTTTTTTTCTCAATAACATTAAAATAATAGTCCTGAAAATGCAGCTAGTTAAGAGGAAAAATAGGAAACTGGGAATGTAAGTTAGCATTTAATTCACACAAATTCACAGTTTGCATGGAACGTTTGACTTTAGAAGTAACCTTATCTGTTACTGAAGTTATAATTGTTAGTTAGATGACAGAAGATTGAACTCTGAAAACCAAGCACCACAGTTTTACAAAGCAGAAGTTAAAATCAGCTGCAATTTCATTATTTAAAACACAGATCTCAGTCACATTCATATCACTATGAAAGTAACCAGTATTAACTCCAATATTATTTCTTTCAAGGTTCCGGAACAACTTACCAGAATTTCCTAAAATCCCCATAATCTGGCCACTCTCTATGTGAAATGAAACATCCTTAAGTATTTGCCGGGTCCATTTTTTACAATATAAAGAAAAGTTCCACCATGGGCCAACACGCTCTCTTGGAAAACAAACATCAATAAAAATTAAATAGAGAATATTTTAAAATCTAGCATAAAGCAAGTGAATGGTTTATAGCTACCTGCTACAAACCGTTTCAGCATTATTTGGAAGATAAAATGAGGTCTGAACAGATTTCTCAGAATAATTGCTAAGAGGCTTTTGGACTACAACCAAAGAGGCAAATATGAACTGTGGCTTTATTTGCTGACGGTGTCTGCCAGCCACTAATCCACCTGGCCCTTTTCTCAGAGCCTATGTTATCCTTCTGGTAGCAGTAAGACAGACAGTGGGAAAGAGCACAATCTTTGGAAATCTCCTCTAACACATGTCCTTCAGAGACATCTGAAAGAGAAGGGGTGAGCCCTCCGGAGGACAGGCTGGCTGTGCCTCCCTCGGGCCACGCGCTCTGCCCCTGTGGCAGACAGCCCAGTGCCATGAGGTGGGCAGCCTGGAAACATCCCTCCTCCTGGACTGGGCTGAAGCCAAACCCACAGACCGCCAGTGCCAGCCCCGCTTCCCACAGTCCCTGGGGTTGGAGCAGCTCTTGGCAGGCAGGGGCCCTCCGTACTGCCCTCCCCAGCCCTACCTGATGGTGTAGGAGACACCCTGGACACTGACGCTGTCGGATGGCTGTGCCCCAGCTTTCGTCTCGCCTGTCTGCCCCATGCTGCTGCTCTTTTCCAGGGCAGGAGACACTCTGCCCGACATCCTCAGGTGCTGGGGCTCCATAGCCTCCCTTCCTCAAGCCTCTGGCCAGGTGCCTGGCGCTGCCACCACCATGCCTCCACCAGCGCCAGGCAGGGGCAGCTCCCCGCTGTCCCAGGGTCAGAGCAGGTCGCTGCCCCCAGCACTTGCCACCTCAAAGAAAACAGAGGGGCTCCTGGTCCTTTCTTTTTCCTGAGAACAACTGATCAGCGATTAGCTGAAGCCGCTATCTGATGTACCTTTAGCCCGAGCTGTACTGTCCCAGAGGAGGGGAATATTTCCCTGTCCACGGGGTCACGCCAGCTGCAGAGACACAGCATGCCAGGAGATACGGTGCTGCGGTGAAGGTGCCCGGAAAGGACTGAGTTCCAAACCAAGAGGAGAAGGATTTCTTTCAAAGAGACAAGTCAAACCACTGCAAGGAGTGAGACCTTCCACCACCATGATGAAGGAAACCACTGAAAATGTCTCTCTGGATGATGCCGGCTGGAGCCAGGTGACATTCAAGGGCTTGCCAGGGAGTGAGACCTGCAGGGAGTCGGGAGGGACCTGATGGGCTCAGCTTTCTGCAGCTACAGTGCTTGCTGAGAACTGGGAGAGGCAGGCAGGCAGCCTTCCCACAGGGCTTTTGCAGCTGGTGAGCCCTCAGCTCATCCAGCTCTGAAATGGGGAGCAGAAAGTGTCCACACCCCCCACCAGAGCATACTGAGGATGAGGCCAGTTCTCAGATGCCACAGTGGTGGAACTGAGAGGGGCGATCTCCAAATATGTGGATGGAGGAGAAAGCCCCTCAGCATGGCCTGGACCGGCTTTCCCAGGATATGCCTTCAGACTGATACCCACATTTGCTGGGGAGCACCTGTTTTCAAAAATTAGGTTCAACATAAGCGAGAGCACAGAGTGCTTTGGCAGTAGCAGGAGCTTGGAGGGCTTTCATGCGGCTTTTCAGGCTGCTTGGTGCGACATTGCTTTCTGCTATCTAGACTGTATCTAGATTGAAAAGATTAATCAGCCTTGTTTGCTGTGAGGGTATGTGGTGCACACTAAGATCGTGGTCATCAGCTGCCAAAGATACCACAGGCATGGATAGGGGCTGCTACACAGAGAACAGGTATGTTTGCCTTGGCTAGAAATGAGTCTGACTCGTAGGAAAAGCACAGGGCTTCAGGAAAGATATGGCTGTCTGGAGTAAAAACTGCAGGCATGCACACAGAGTTACACCCAAATCCAGAAAGCTGCCTCAGCAACGACTTCATAATTGCAGATGTATGCAAAACGTTAACCAAGCCAAGCAGAGACTCTTGTTATTTTAACTGATACCTCAGAACAGTAAGTTCCACAGTTGACAAACTGTAAATTTAAAAAACAAAAGAGGAGAAAGAGACTGTACTTGTGGTTGTATACCCACTTGTTCACAAATTCTCCAAGTTTGAGTCCATGTGGAATTCAACAACAGATATACTTCCAGTGAACACTAATTTTTAGCTGCCATAACTTATGTATGGCATAAGTTTTTTATGTATGGCAGCTAATTTTTAGCTGCCATAACTATATGCACTATTTTGGTCAAGTAGACTGACACTGCTGAAGCACTGTATCTTTTTTCCTCATAAAAAGGAAAAAAAGAAAGAGTCTAATCTCTTTATACTGACATGACATTTATCTCCATTTTGAATGACTGCTTTTAAACTAGCAACTAGAAAAGCACAGCACAGCATTTTTGGCCCTCATACATGTCACTAGAACAAAGTACGTTTCACACTGATTAACAGATAATAGATAACTTATTTCAACCCCTCAGACTTTTGCACTACAGTAACTCAATATTGTTATATTCCATAAATATATTTACCTTTGTGCTTTGTCTTTTCTGAACTCAGATTTTAACAGTACTTTAGTTGTTGTAATTAACTGTTGCAATTAACCTAACAACTTTTCCAGACCAAGCCCCAGGATGCTATTTTTTCCTCTGAAGAAGATAACAGTCTGTATTTCACATACAGTGGGAAATCAAACGTTCTTGAGGTCAAAGAACTCAATTACCAGGTAAGAATTGTCATTTAAATACCTCCCTTCAGCAGGAAGCATATCCAGCAATGCCTGTTTCTATACACAAGCCATTTTAAAAGCCAAACAAAGTCGAAAAAGTTCACACAACTGTTGCACAGTCAAATACGTGGTTTTGTGAGTAGAATCATACTCTTGGTTGCAATACTGACAGCAGACTAACCCCTCCATTGTAAATTTATTTAGTAAAGCAAGGGGGTAAGACAGAAAGAGAGATCTGTTTCTAAGCTCTGCTTTTTTTCAGTCTTGAGCAAAATTATTCCTCTGAGTGTTGGGGCAGAGGGACTTTCTGTCAGGCTAGCGATGTTGGGAGCCCTGGCTGGCAAAAATGAGTATGTGGAAGGAGATGAAGAGAGGATGACTAATAAGGAGGATTTCAAGGAACCAGTGAAATTTTTCATCTCCTTTGTGCCACCGTGGCATCTGAAGTAGATTTCACAATTTTCAGTTTAATAGAATTTCAAATTACATTAAAATTTTTAAATATTTAAAATTTACAATAGCAATAAGTTTCCAAAGTAACAGAGAACAGAGATAGATTTAGTGATTAACGGAATGAGAAGTAAAACACAAAACCCATAGATGGCTGCAAAAGAACTTCTTTCCATGTATTTCTGAAGATTAACAATGATATTCTTTGCTTGTAACATTGTAACTTTGAAGATATTTGTTGCTAAATAGTTTATTGCTTGAAGGGACTTGTTTATTTCTTTATTAGGTTAACACAGCATCCCAGATTCCCTGGTATGAAAACCTTGCACAGATGAAAATGCCCTGGACCTGGAAATCGGATCCCCATTCTCGTGTGCCAATAATCCAGAATCTGAATTTAAAAGTTCGAAGTGGTCAGATGCTGGCTATTATAGGAAGCACTGGTAAGAGCAAACAAATTTCAGGATATGACCAACTCTCAGATAAAATGTACACAGCCAAGAGCAGTTTTTTTAATGTCAAAATCTAGTTGAGGAAAAAACTATTGGCAATGTGTCACTTAAATGCATTCTTTAAGTGACATGATCTATGAGGAAACAAAGAATGATACCACGGGGAGGAGGGGAGTTGGGTTTAAGATTGATTTTCAAACCCAATTTTGTTATGCCTTCCACACATTTGCTAATTGTTTCCTGAGGTGTAGTGGGGTATTGTCATAATTGTGGCCTTGAAGGCCCAGATCTGCTGGACATGAATCAGCTTCATGGCTCAGATTCAAAACAGGCCAATTGCAGGTCTTACCCAGAAAACAGAGCAGACAAATGAGGACAGACCCCATAAGAAAGATCAATGCCAACTTGCATAGCCATAAGTAGGAATTCCCTTTGGATTGAAACAATTCTAACAGGACAAAATATTGCATTTGGGTTAATTAAGAGAAACTTACAGAGAAGAAAAGACAGTTCCACTTTTGTTTGGGGTCTCTGCTTTACAACGTCTTTTTCTTTTTTTCCTTCATTTTCTGGTGGGACAAGTCTAATCTTCTCCAAGGTGAGGTTGTCTAATGGAGAGGTGGCCTTTTCCCCATATGTTCAATTGAATCTAAGCTCATCTAGGGAGATAAGAAGTAGACACATGATGTGCTAAACTGAAGTAAAAAGTACTTTACTTTAGAGGGAAAAACCTCCATGCTGTGTCTCCACTAGACTCTTATGTATCTCAGTGATTCAGTGAAGATCCTCTCTATCAAAGACAAGGCATATTTGCCAAAAAGTTTGAACTTTATTTCTACAAAAAGAGGTGTTTCTTCCCTATTGCCATGGGAATTTTTTTCTTACTACATATCCCTAATGTAATAGAAGCTGTACCTTAGAGATTTTCCCAAAAATAAAAGGAAAAGCTTGTGATGAAATAATATATAAAGTTATAGATATAGCACCTTTGTAAGATAACATACACTGAGCACAAACCCCTTTCAGCAAACTAGTCAAACTATTTTCAAAAGCTGTTTATCATTTATTTCATCAAATGCCTTAATAAAATGGATTAAACTGCTGATGGGTTTCACATTGTCAATGGCAATCAATATGTCACTCTTAAACAGAGCAATATGTGGTTTACAGATGGATGGGTTTCTTTTTTTAAAATGTATATATGAAGAAACAAGTGTGGAGTTAATCTTTCAACAGGGAGACTAGAAATAAATGACATTTAATCATAATAAGAGAGCTCTCTGTGTTTACATACAGTATCATACACTAAAAAGGAAAAATTCATTTGCTATTTAGCTCCAAATCAGGTTTTGTTTTCATTGCTTTACTTTTCCTACCTCTGGTTATGAGCCAGCTTTTCTTAATTATTTAACTGTCTTTTTGTCTTATTTAAGTCATAATAATTTTTATTTCAATCATGATTAAGGTTCTTATTGTCTGTATAATCACTCAGCACCTTAGTCGTTCAGCTGATCCAGCTGCTGCATCTGAATTCACAAATCCCTCCACAAAGAAAGCTCTTGCTTAGCATTTGGGTGTCAGCCTTGCAGCCAGGGCAAGACACCACCTGTCACCTATGTTTCAAAAGTGAAAGAAAGGTAACCAAAGAGATCTTTCTTCTTGTGTTCATGGAACTACCCTCAACGCCCAACCTCCCAATTCTGCTAAGAAATGACAAGGGTTAAAGCCCCATACTCCAGTCCAGAGGGGAGAGATTTCCTGAACATGAATTTATAGTCATTATTTTCTTTGAAGACCATTCCGTCCCCGTGGCTTTGGAAAAACTGCAGGAAGTGTTGTGTAAGAGATGCTAAGGAACAAAAATTTCTATCCGCTGTCTGTGACAAGACCATTTTTCAAAATGATCCCTTGGGAATTAATTTAATTTTCAATTTTGACTTTTCTAGCTGGTGGAAAGACATCCTTGCTTGACGTGATAACCTGCCGGGATCATGGAGGCAAAATCAAGTCTGGTCAAATCCTGATCAACAACGAACCCAGCACTCCCCAGCTTGTTAGGAAATGCATAGCACACGTGCGGCAGGATGACCGACTGCTCCCCCACCTGACTGTCAGAGAAACACTATTGTTCGTTGCCAAACTGCGCCTTCCGAAGTTTTTTTCAGACTCACAAAGGAAAAAAAGGGTAATTAAGCTGTTGGAAAAAAGTAAAGTTGTCAAAAATGTGTCTGACAGGAATTATCCAAGAGATCCTGTGTGTTTGGAGTCAGAACAGCTAATCTGATATTTTTTCATGTAGATTATGAATTATACACCTTTTTCATCTTTCAAGATAGAAACCAGCAATTGTTCCAAAGCTCATAAAAAATGACAATCTAGAGAAAGCATTACAGAGGCTGAAAGATGAACTAAATTTTTGATCGCTGAGTCTTTTTTAATGTTATCTCTAAAACCAAGAGTGTCTCTTGATCATATAGCTCTGAAATATCCAGACGAATTTTAACCACGTTCATCTTATTTTCAGTTTTATCTGTGCACGAGTGTCCAAATGAACACTTGCTTTCTCTCTGTTGCCCTTCGGATCCCCCAGGTAGAAGATGTCATAGCAGAGCTGCGCTTGCGCCAGTGTGCAAACACCAGGGTAGGGAACGAGTTCCTCCGTGGCGTTTCAGGAGGCGAGAGGCGGAGAGTGAGCATCGGTGTGCAGCTGCTCTGGAACCCGGGTGAGCAAAACCCTGACACCTTCCTCGTGCCTACCACAGACCACCCGGGGATAATGGGGCAGTAAATGAAGACAGGAGCTTTCAGACAGACACACTGCCCCAGGGGCAGCTTAAGGAGTTCATACTCAGAGCACTTAACCTGGCACCACCCTCTGCCAGAGGTTACCTCTCCACAGCACAGTTAGACACAGTGACCGAATGCTGGCCCATTTGCTTAAATTGAAATCATTGCTGATCACAGATAAAACTGTGATTATTACAGTAATAATTCTGTAAACAGAGTGTTTTTTAGCAGCTGGCCCACTAGTGTTTCTGTCACCTTGGCCAATGGAAAAGCGGAAGCAGACCAAGGCAGAGCCCCCCTGGGATGCTTCACCCACCGCTCTCACCCACCATCACAAAGACTACTAAAGTTGCCTGAAGTTACCCTCAAGCAGTGTTCTGGTCTGTGCATACCAGTGTAACATTTTTGTTTATCTGACCACATACCACAAGTTATTTTGGAAGGCTGCTGGCCTATTGTAACATGGAGATTGTTTTCCTTTCCTCTGACCCAGCCCCCATTTACATGTACAGTATTCACAGGGAAGGTAATTTTCTTGGCTGTATAGTCAGTCCTTGCAGTGTTGTGCAACTCACTGACATGGCTGGCTCATGCAGCAGGTGAACTAGAAACTTCCATTGTCTTCAGTAGAAGCAAAATAAGAGGCTAAATCCACAGCTGATTTTTCTGGATTGAATCCCTTATCTGATCTTATATATATCAAAAGCACTACTAACCTGACTGAGCGTCTTGTTAAGCAAGATTTGACATCAGTTTTTTCACTGGGAAATGGATTTGAACATTTTTTGCTTGTATAGGGTTATATTTTTGTAATTATGGAGAAAGAAAAAGATTTTTTTATTTTGTAAGAAGTGATGCTCAGGAATAAATGCTCTGGTACTGAAGTAAAAGAATATATTTTTTTCCTTTAAATTTAAAAATAATCGGTGACATTTCATGCACTAGCACCATTTCATTTAGAACATATTTTCCAAATCAAACATGCTGCTTTCCACATCTAAACTTATTGTATTTGGCAGGAATACTCATACTTGATGAACCCACATCTGGACTGGACAGTTTTACTGCACATAACCTCGTGATAACATTATCCAGACTGGCCAGGGGAAACAGATTGGTTCTTCTTTCACTTCATCAGCCTCGGTCAGATATCTTCCAACTGTTTGATTTAGTACTTCTGATGACTTCTGGACTCACTGCCTATTGTGGAACAGCTAGAGACATGGTCCAGTATTTCACAGAACTAGGCTACCCCTGCCCAAGGTACAGCAATCCTGCGGATTTCTATGGTCAGTATCAAGCACTGCCAAAAGAAAAGGTTACTGGAAATCATTTGCTTTCATAATTGTCTAACTAACATTGATTTTTGTAGACAATAACTGTCTTAGAAATGTCTTATAACTGACTCAAATCAATATTGCAGCAAGTTCCATTTTTAATGAGATCCCTATTTCTCAGTACAGAAAATGTAAGAAAAACAAGATGTATGGACAAAAGCAATTTTTTAAAAAATCCTCCTTCTAACCCTGACAGGTATAGCAACTCCTCTGCATGTTTAGCACACTTAACCCCATGTTTTAGCTGGTTGAAACTTTGACTGAGAAAGACACAGATAGACTGATGAACTGCTTTCTGTAGCCAGTTCTCTGACTTCTCAATCAAGAAATGTAGAAGCTAGTTTCCCCAGAGTGAGCAATAACATGTACCTGGAACAGTAAATGGGAAAGAGAAGTCTGCCCAAAAGAGCACACCAGAAGGGAGAAAAAGCTAACCCAAAAAAGCAATCCTTTTACTCCTCAAAGAAAGTTTACATGGTTTCAAATCCATTCTTCTTCTGGTTTTTGCAACGTGGAAAGGGAATCTGACCCTCTTAATCTAATGGGCGGGAATCTCTTAACAGAGGCTGGTTCAGTTGCAGCCCTTAGGTCTTTGCACTCAAGTTGGCCAGGAAACCTCACACAGACACCAGTGAGTGCTCTGGAGTAACCTCTTCAGCTGTGCCTATGTGGCAGGCAACGTCAGCTGTGCAGAGATAAACAGAAGTTAAATTTGCTGTCAAGCCCTACAAAAAGACCTTTGTCACCATCAGGGTTCAGAGCAGTCCTCAGCCAAGGACAGCCTCGAGGAAGGCTTGAGCACCCCTGTAGGGGAACGGAGAGGCAGTCCTGGACAAACTTGTAGCTGCTGCCTGCAGTTACAAACCCCTACGACACAGAGGTAGGGAGGGATGAGAGAGGGAGGTAGAAGATCTTTTAGCAATACGTAGAGTCAGCACCCATAGGAAAAGAAATATGGGCAGCAGAAAGGTGGAAATAGGACGGGATGGCAGAGGATCCACAGCAAGAAGGAGCACATGATGGAAACACACAAATGCTGGCTGGTGTCTGATAGAAAAACAGGAGACCATGCTAGAAGGGAAGACAGGGCAGATTGAACTAATTTCTGGTGGACTCCTGCTAAGGAGTGGCTGAACAGAGATGATCAGCCCAATGCAAGGAATCAGGAAGTGTGCAGCAATAGTTCTCTCAGAAAGCATCTGCAAAACATCAGGTATTGTCAGTCTACATTGAAGGTCAACATGGGAAAATACTACTATAAGTTTAGATTTTTAAAAAAATCATTTTGTTAAGTAAAAAAACAATGCTAAGTCAACTACTGTCTCTCTATGTTGTCCTTAGATAATACCCTTTTTGGACTTTCTCAATATCTGGTAAAGTTTATGGCACCTCCATAAGATACAAATAAGATGATAACTGTAATTTTTCAGATGAAGAAAGAAACATGTGATTTAAGTCAAAGTCACATAAAAGATTGTAAATGCCTACACACCAGGAAGGAAATTCAAATAGCTTTTTTTCTCAGCACTCCTCTCAAGGCACTATGAAATTGCGACAAATCTGAAATAGTAGTTTATAATATTATAATAAGCAATTATGTAATCTCTCAGTGATTCATTGAATCACTAGGTAAGAAACACACACATGAACAATCCGTTCATCTCTAACTGCCTAAGGTAACTGATAAAGTTCTAACTATTGTAAGTCAATGCATGTACACAGGTTGTACTATCTGTTCACAGCGAAATCCCTGATTCTAAGCACATCATAAAGTTATCACTTCTATAGCATATGGACTTACATCAAATAATGTCTTGCAGTTGATTTGACCAGTATCGATAAACAAACTGCAGAAAAGGAAATGGAAAGCCGAAAAAGAGCAAATACTCTTGCCAACTTGTTCCTAGAAAAAGTCAAACATTTTGATGACTTCTTATGGAAAGTTACTGAAGGAGACAATGTTGTGACCACAGTCAGCAACCAAAGGTAAAGAAAAGAGTGTCATACAGAGGATCTGAAACAATAGCTACAGCCTGTGCTAATTTCAATTTTTTTTTCTCTTTTTCTTTTGAACAGGTCCCATTTAAACTCAGAAGAGGCTATCAACATGCCTCACCATTCAAGTGATCAGTTACCAGGAGCCTTAAAGCAGTTCACTGTATTATTAAGGTAAACTTCTCTTCAGCATAAACAGTAACGTATCATGCCCATTTGCATTTTAAATCATAAGAAAGAAGCACAAAATGTCCCAAATCCATTGCCTTCCTTCAAGCTTTCAGCATTTCAGGCCTGAAATACTCAGTGGCTACAGATGCTTCATAGCTTGGATTAGGTAAAAGCCTTTACAGAAAGAGGCAGCCCAACTCCCACCACAGTCAAAGTCAGCAAGTTCCATGAATTGATTTTAACAGTGTTTGGGGCAATGTCTCTGAACAGTGACTGGCATTATTAAGTACTGTATCTTACAGTCAATGTTGCTGTTTTCCTAGTCGTCAAGTCTCCAATGACTTCCGAGATCTTTCAACGTTACTAATCCATGGACTTGAGGCCCTTCTTATGTCATTATTAATTGGATTTTTGTACTATGGCCATGACAAAGATGGACTCTCTATTCGTGACACAACAGCACTGCTCTACATGATAGGTGCCCTAATCCCATTCACAATAATTCTGGATGTTATTGCCAAATGTAAGTGTCAGTTTTCTTGTAAACATTATAAGCAATCAAAATCAGAAGATTCCTAAATTAATGAAAAAAATTAAACTTATTAATACAATCCAAGGCCTAAAACAATCTGTTTTCTCCTACTCTGCAGGCCATTCAGAAAGAGCAATGCTCTATCATGACTTGGAAGGTGGAATGTACTCTGTTAGCCCATACTTCTTTGCTAAGGTAACTGGTTTTGTTGCCAGGAAATACAAACAGCTGTCTTGAACATTAAAAAAACACAAGCAAATCAAAGACTTGTTGTATAAACAATCAGGTTCATATCAGATTTTGTTCTTTTGTGTCTGCCAGCTAAGGCTATCGTTCTTGCTTCCTTGACATTAATAGATTAAACCTCACACTACTTTAGATCTGTTGCCATAAGTCATGGTTGAGATCCCACACCAGAGAAGCCAAAGAAGAATCTTTCGCTAGGCTGTTTGGCCAAAATTTAAGAAATCTCAAACCCAAATTTGAAGGCTTAGGCAATTTTACATAACCGCATAATTCACTGAAGCATCTCTGAAAGTTTGCTTACATGTCTTGATCTGTAAAACAAAATATTTACATCAAAAGCTAAAGAAAAGGTAAAACAGAAATTACAAACTGTGATGTTTCCAGTAGTAGTTTGGGCCTGTGGTGGTCAGAGATAAAAAAGCCGTATTAAGTGCATAAAGAGCCAGAGTTCCTGGAATTAAATTTAGAACTTTTTTTAAAAATTACATTCTCTTTTTCACAAGGGTTTAGAATAATCCCTTCTTTGTGATGTTGCCGCTGTTAGATGAGTTCTGCCTGCCATGGCATCTGTAATTTAGGTTTCCATTTCTGCACAAGATTTTAAATGCTTATTAGTGGTTGCCAGAGAAAAATATTCTCTGCATTGTGTCACAAAGATTGCACATTATTCACAGAGAAATCGATGTAATTTGTTACAACCTTAGTATTACAGGATAGTAGCAACCCTCTTAGGAACAACTAATGCTCTCTACAGACCTCTTCAGATATTTGAGAAAATCCTATTTATGCTTTTGTTTTACAACAAACTAAGCTGCTAACTGGACTGCCTTTGGGACAAGGTGGGGAATGGACCAACAGCCAAATTTGTCTAAAATTTGATCTAACACTAGGTTCAACCAAATTGGGGCAAATACAGTAGCCATGAGTCAGGCACAGTATTGCTGTTATCAAGCACACCAGTTCTCAGGGAAAGTGTCATAAATTCTTAGAAACTGCCCAAACTGTAACAAAACAAGACCTCTAATCTATTACAGGAGTCCTCTCCATTTAACAGTTAGTTACAGGCAATGTCACAACTGGAGAAAAAACTAGCGTGGATTTCAGTTTCTGCTGCAGATTGTTTTTGCATGTCATTGACAACCCCTAACAGGGAGAGGATTGTGTTCTAGGGGAGTATTTCCTGTAATTTTTATAAGAAGTCCATAAGTACATTAGGGCACATCTCATGTGGTTTTGTAATTATCATTCAACAAATTCTCTTTTTTTATTTAATTTTTCTTCTCCCTGAACAGATTTTGGGGGAGCTCCCAGAACACTGTGCTTTTGTTATAATTTACGGAGTTCCCATCTACTGGCTGGCAAACCTCATTCCTGAACCAGAGCGTTTCCTGTTGAACTTCCTCTCGGTGTGGCTGGCTGTGTACAGTGCCCGTGCCATGGCACTCTGGGTGGCAGCGCTGCTGCCCACCTTGCAGCTCTCGGCCTTCCTCGGCAACGTCCTTTTCACATCGTTCTACCTGAGTGGTGGTTTTGTGATAAGCCTGGAAGGTCTCTGGACAGGTGAGACAAAGCTCCCACCATCCCTCCAAACTGGCTTGGAAACGTCAGTGGCTTTCATCACTGACTAGTTGTCGTGATGCTGCAGGAAAACTCAGCTTTACTCCTACCTTTGCAATTATCTTCTTGGATGGTGACAGTGGAGTCATTCATTTTATATAAGTTTCTCCATCTGAAAATGAGGGAAAAGGAAGTTTGGTCAAAAAAGCACTAGTGAAAGGCTTGATTCTTATGTGGTTGCCAAACTTTTCAGTAAAAAGAATTGTATTCAAAAGACGAAGATGGAGCTCCAGGAAGACTTAGTTGACAGTAGGAGTTTGATGGATATGGATATTAGCTTACTCCTCACTTCCCATCTCCATGTAACAACGTAAAGTATATCTGCTATTTTGTCCAATAATAAACTCCTACATGTTTACAGCCTCTGGCTGTCAAGAAATGAGACAAAGCTGCTGTATTTGGCAGTAGCACAGCAGTTTTTGAGGTCTCAAGTTTTGTGTATGTATATCAATTTCTTTCGTTCTGTTTTTTCTTTTTTCAGTTCCTTTTTGGGTTTCTAAAATCTCTTTCCTCAGATGGAATTTTCAAGGAATGATGCAAATTCAGTTCACTGACCGGATGTATGAAATGACTGTTGGAAACACTACTTTTCAAATACCAGGGAAATTTGTAAGTCAGTAACAAAAACTGTTATAAACATTTAATTGTTTCCCCAACGGGTGGAAAGCCTGTCATATTTAAATGGATGTTGTAGGCCTCAAATTTGGCAAATGCCAAATCAGTGCGTGAAGTCATGTTACACTTAGTATATTGTAAATTCGTCCTTAAAGATGTCCCTATAGCAGTCACTCATATGCCTTTCTTTTAGTTGAAGAGAAAAAAAAAAAGAAAATAATCGTGGGCCACTATTTTCTACACAAAACCCAACTATGCACTTGCTGAAACTGTTCAGAAGCTGAACTGTGTTCCTCTGAAACAGGAATAGCGTAGCTGCAACCTGCTATCAAACAACTCCGAAAGATACATCCAGCTGGAAACCAAGGGGAAAGATGGCATGGGCCAAGGGAACTCACATGTAAAATACACTTCACAGATCCAGCATGAAAATTTTGTGCCTTTTCCCAATTTTGTGTTATTGGTCATTACAGATCATTCAGTCTCTGGACTTGGACTCCCATCCTCTCTACGTGAGCTACCTCATCCTCATTGGTATCATTTGCAGCTTCCTGCTTTTATACTATTTATCTCTGCGCTTCATCAAGCAGAAATCAACCCAAGACTGGTAACAGCAGAGGAGGCAGCAGGTGACAGCGTCCCTTGCAGGAAGGTAGGGGAAGAACGAGCCCAATTTTGGTCCCCCCCGGCAGCCTCCCAGAAGAGGCGGGCGCCGGCAGCGCGGCTGCCACAGGATGGCAGCAGAACCCCAGGAGTCGGGATGCGGGCTGTGCTCCCCGCAAGGCTGCCACGGACAGCAGCTTCAGCCTGGGCTGGGGGTTCGGGGTGGGCTTTGGGCTTTTTGTTTGCTTGACACGCGGTTTTCATAGGTGACAAGGCATACATGAGTTCTCCACACCTGGATATATTCTGAGCTATGGGCGACCGATTTAAAAGGACCCGTTGCACATTGTAAGAGCTGATATTTTAGTATATAATGTTTGAACATACAGTGATCACATACTTAATTCAAAGAACTGCGAGAGAAAAGGATCGAAACACTACTTTCTGTGGCATATATGACATTCAGCACTCACAAACACAGCACAGAGGAAAGCAACACAGAAGATTTCACAGGTGCTTCAGGAGAACATGTGCAATGATGGAATATAGAACTGTTAACTACTCTGTGTTATTTCTAATTCCTTATGTATTTTAAAGCTTTGCCTTTATATTCCAGTTAGATGCTGATGATGCCCAAAATAGGTATTTGCTTACTGTAGAGATGATAACAATAAAATTATTTCAAATACATACTAATTGATTGCTGTTAACAACATCTTTCTCCCTGGCAGTACAAATCATAGCAATTCACCAAGTTTGCTTCCTAAGGTTCTCAGGTAGAAAATACCAACCTGCCCCTGAGTAATTAAAAATCTAACAATGCAATCTATTAAATGCTTGCAATTGTGCACCTAGTTTTGCTCAGAAAATTAGTATCAGTAAATAAATGGGCATAATTCACACACAGTCACAGTAAGTGCATGTACAAATTAGGTGTACAGTTGTGAGCATTTTGTAAGATTAGCTTGCTGCTTTTAAATGTTTAGATGCATATCTCCGTTCTTATATACAGAGACCCAAAGCAGATCGACTACTTGACTTTCATTTACATGTTCCATACAGTGGAAAACTCCTCCTGTAATCGGCTATAATGACCCAGATACTGTTACGTAAATCCCAAGGTTTGGTTTGGGTTTTTTTTTAAGAATTAAGAATGACAGAACATCCATATTTTATTGTTCAATTTGGCAGTTAGGACTGCCACATTACTTTCCACAGATTCCACGAGGCAATATATTCCCAGGAAGACCTTGGTCTAAAGATATTAAACAGGACTGATAAAGTAAGATCTTCAGCCCTAGGCAGTAGTAGGAATCCAAAACACTCCAAGGTTCTTCTAAGGCGAATTCTACCATATCTTTCTGGTTCTGCTGTATTTGATTTCAAAAAAACCCACTTGATCTGATTTCAGTGCCATTTTGAAATTATCAGATTTTCATTGCCTTTTAATGGCAAAGCCAATTCTTTCAGTCCAATTCAGCATCATTAAATTGTCAGAATAGCAGCTTCCTGTTTGATTCTTAATTATTCCTTTTTATTATATTTAAGACATTTAATTTTTTTTTAATGGTTTACTCTTCTTTGTAATGATCTGTTGTGATTAGAATCTCTTTTATATTACACTGAAGTTTTAAGGGTATATATTGGTACTTCTAGTCTAAACCTCTATTTTCAAGGTATTTAGAGGATTAAATTCTAGGCTGACTCTCTGTTGTGAATTCACTTTGATGTTTAATAAAAAAAAAAGGAGAGACACAATGGGAGAAATTAAAGACATAAGGGACAGCTCTGAATTTTAGGGGCATATTGTCATGCACAGAAATCTTCAGGCATCTAGATAAGAATATACCATAGCCTTAACTTTGAATTTCCTTCCTTTTGTGAAATTAGTCAGGCTGCTGACATTACTTAAACAGCCTTTTTCAATTTAAAATTCCACCCTCTTAACATTATGCAGCAGGACCAAACGGTGTGAGTGTTTCAGAGGTGGTGTTATGACAAGGGTAGATGTATACATAATGGGGACTTGAGCAGTGAGCCGAGGAACAGCCAGCATGTGGAGTGGAGGAAGAGCTATCATAGGAGGTGGCCAGGCCTCTGTTTACATAGAAAAAGCTCATATTCTATATACTACAATTACATTAGCACACTGCCTATGATCATATCTTGTTTCCTTGATGCTGAGAGATGGGGAATATAGGCTGTGATTATTGTTACAGGCTTTAGCAATAAGAAGGTAGGAGCCTTGAAATACCAGCAATTAGCGTTCACGCCTAACAATAGCATGCTGTGGGGCTGTGTACAGAGAAGAGCACAGGGAAGAGTGGGTGGATGACACACAACCTGCCCCACTCGCGCTACCAGGAGTTGCAAATAGTGCAGGTTTAGGGGAATTAGGCATCTCTCAGCCAGTGAAGCTCATGCCGTATGCTTTGGCCTCTACTCACACTTCCACAGTGGAGCTGCTGCTGCTGCAAAATCAAATGGTCAGCGAGGCAACAGAAATCTTCCCACGAGTTCTAATCAAGTGTGCCGCTTTCAGCTGGGGTAGAGTTAATTTTCTTCACAGTGGCTGCTATGAGGCTGTGTTTGGGATTTGTGCTGAACACAGGGTTGATAACACAGAGATGTTTTTGTTACTGCTGAGCTGGGCTTACACAGAGCCAAGGCCTTTTCTGATTTTCGTACTGACATGCTGGCAAGGAAGCTGGGGGTGCATGAGAGGCTGGAAGGAGACACAGGCAGGACAGGTGACCCGAACTGACCATAGGGGTATTCCATACCGTATGACATCATGCTCAGTATATAAAGCTGGAGGAAAGAAGGAAGGGGGGTTTTGGAGTGATGGCATTTTGTCTTCCCAAGCAACCATTACACATGATGGGGCTCTGCTCCCCTGGAGATGGCTGAACACCTGCTTGCCCATGGGAAACAGTAAATTAATTCTTTTGCTTTGCTTGTGTACATGGCCTTTGCTTTCTTTATTAAACTGTCATTATCTCAACCCATGAGTTTTCTGGCTTTTGCCCTTCCAATTCTCTCCCCAATCCTGCTGGTGGGGAAGTGAGCAAGCGGCTGCGTGGTGCTTGGCTGCTGGCTGGGGTTAAACCACGACACCAAGGCTAAAAGTCATAACTGAATTTCAGTACAGCTTCGCTCTCCAAGTTTCAGAGTAGCCATTCCTTTTCCTTTGACTGGCCTGTATCAGCCGCAGCTCGCTGTGCCCTCCTGTCTGCACTACCTGTACCAGCATAATCAGAGTTGCTGCAGTCCATAGCAATCTCAACACTAAAGAACACAAGGAAGACACTGCCCAAAACTTACTGTACTGTCTGTTCCACACACAACATTCAGTTTGCTACCAACTTTAGCAATGTGGTTAAGGCAGATGTGCCTCTTGAGCAGAGCACTGCCAGCTAGTCCAACAATGCCACCACCCCAAGGATTCACCTACTGCTGTCTTTGCTCTCCCTGTATCCTCCCTGACCAGCTTCAGAAAGGAACTCCTCAGCCATGGTCTCCTGCAGGCGACTCAGTGAAAAACTGGTTTTGAAATGGCACCACGTTTAATTGGTCGCACGGTTTCCAAGTTGTTTTGTCCAACTACTGTTTGAACTGCCCAGGGCACAACAAAACTGCAACAAGCTATGGGACTTCAGTCTGCAGACATGTCAGAGTGGGGAGTGGGACTATCAAATACAAGCAAAAATAATATTTGTAAGGAAAATTCACCAAATTTAGAACCAAAAAAAAAAAATCTTTCCTGGTTACATAAATATTATAAAGTACTGTCTGGACAACAGAACTGTGTGTTGTTACAGTACCTCTAGAGGTGGCATCTGATCTGTAAAGAAACAGGTAAGACAAATTTGTCATTATTACTTAAGTATTTAATATACAGGCAGAGGTAGGAAGATATTCCCCAATTTCCACTCCAAGTTTATGCAGTCTCTCCACTTGGCAAATGAACAAACTTTTTTAGCACTGGAAAATGGATTACAGAAACACTGCTCTACATATTGGCTTGTGGGTAGTGGCAGTCCTCCAAAATACTTTTAACTCGTCCTTGGGAAAGGACTAGCTTTCATTATGGCTAAGCTAAATCAATAAGTAGCTGCCCAAAGTTTCGTCCTATATTTGTTCATTGCAAAATCCATTGAGAAATGCTAAATAAGTAACAAGTATCAATAGCCATTCCTTTCAATAAAAGTAAAACTCCATGAAATTCTTTTAAAAATAAATCACAGACAATGCAGTACACATGGGGATTCTTTGGGTAAGAAATCGCAGGTGTTGGTATGTCCACTTGGACCAGAAATAACAAACCTTTCAGGTTTTAGCCATAATGATTAATTTTAATGGCAGTAGACAAGAAACAGTGTACACAGAGCTCTGTGACATGCTGACTTTTTTTTTTTTTATACTCGGAGAGCCAAGACAAGCCCTTCATATGTTAGCAGCTATTAATTAAGGCAACAATGTTTAAGCAGTGGGTTGAGGTAATTTTTAAACCGCTTAACCCTTTTAAGAACTGACGAGCTTTAGAAAGCATATATATGAGTGTGTGTTCATATTAATAAGTAGATGTAGAAGTATCTGCACGAATGGATTACATACATATGTATATACACACACAACTAATGCCTATGATTGCTTTTATTTTTTTTAGGGAATATTTAAAAAGCAATTCAGATCCATAATTTATAAAAGTGCTGTTGCCAATTTATATAATTAATTATAAAACTGTTTGCTGACATTTATTTTGTCATTAAATCAAACTTAAAGGTTATTTTGAATTGCAAATTTTGTTGGCATTATTTTGCTTTCATGGTCACAATTAGATACTTTTAATGCTTCCAGTGCTAAAAACCTGCAACTTTAACCCCTCAATCCTCACACCATGGCTCCCAAACCAGCTTCTTCCATCAACAACACATATGTACCTTTTGCTTCTCTTTAAGAACCTGATCAGATTTTGCTAAGATTCCTAGCATTTCTCACTACTGTTTCTGCCTAACACAGTATTTTTTCATGTTTAACAAGTGGGTTTAGAGGCACAAATGTTAATGGACTGGTCAGAAGAACACGGTGAGTAAACAAGCAATGCCACTAGCCTCAAAAAAAAATTTGTATTTTGTAAACAAGCAAATTAGCCCAAATTTTCTAGCAAATGCAGAGCAACTGGAAATCTATAAACATTCACAAATTGTCAAAACCAAAATGCACAGAACAGGAAACTTTCAATAAACTCTCAGTGCCTTGCAA